TTATAAATATACAAATCTAGAGGAAAATGTGTAAAAGAGGCGCCATCTTTGTTTGATACAATTTGATCCAGTTTTTCTTCCAGTCTACGTTTCCTTTCCGGAATCTGGGCAGCCCATTTATGGTACATCTTTATAGCTGACAGTGTATGATACCCCTGTCATTACCACACCCCGGTTACATCATTAGTTTGAGACTAACCTTTTCCTCTGTTCATTGTCAGATTTTGGCAGATCCACAGAAAGATATGGGGGGGGGGGGGGGGGGGCGCGGTGAGGTCCAGCCAGTCCGATTCTTTCTTGATGGTGGCATTTTCCTCTTCCACTTCCTACACCATGTCTGGCTTTTGTTTTATTGTGTCTTCTGTGTCTTTTGGGGTCTTCGCGAGGGGCGTTCAGAGCCGGGACCGGTCGGGCGCCCCCAAACTCCCGGCTACCCCTCTTGTCTCTCCATTTTTGTGTAACTTGCTTAATGGGCAGTTAGACCTGTCGATGGAAAACGAAACCAATTACATCCTGGATAGTCTTGCATTAAGTTTTTTGTTTTTTTTATGGCAAAAAAATACAAAAACCAAAAACGACAACAACAAACTATTGTAAGAATGTTTTTTTCTAAAGTTCTCAAAAATATTTGCAATATCCAATCTGCAACTTTTCCCAATTCAGGTCCAAAATATCAGGATTTCTCATGGGTCCGATAGGTTTGACATAATATTTTCCTATCAGCAACTCCGATTCTGTGTCTAGAAGAGGACCCCATATTCCATATTGGTATTCCACTTAATCGAGTCATTTAAAAAAAAAAAAAAAAGTTTGTTTATTTTAGAGTACTGTTTTATCGACGTGTCTCCAGGCGATCATTTTAAGCGGGTCTACCGAGACCAATGAGTCAAACTTATCCCAAATGATCAAAATTAGTCAATAGACCTAATAGATCCTATTGTTAAAGAACCAACCAATAATCATCTGGATTACTGCAACTTTACTAAATTCATTTTAAAAAAGCTACGTAAAATACATACAATAATGAGAAATGCATATCAAGTCTTACACTTACTCATGTACTTATATACAAAAAAAATGTACGAACCTAGTGTTTCCAGTATAATATTGTAATTTCAACAAACTTTACCTAATCAAGATATACTGTCATTTTGTTCATTTAATATCAAAGTTTTTATTCAGGATGTGACGACTGGTAACTCATTCCAAATGAAATATCATGCTCAGAACATATGAAATATCATGTTTAGAAAAAAGGAATTATCGTGTTTTGAACACATGAAATATCAATCTTTGAACATAGGAAGTATCATGTTTTAAACATATGAAATATCATGTCTACTCTAGAACGAATGAAATATCATGTTTTATACAAATGAAGTTTCATGTTTAGAACAAATGAAATATCATTTTTAGATCATGATTATTATAAACTCTCTCTAAATAAATTATATATATATATTTTTTACTTTGTATCTATTGTCAACTCTCTCAAAAGATCATACTTGTCTGTTTTAATTGTGAACTTACTTCTTCTTCATCTCTTACATCTTGAGGTCCTCGGAAAGAAAGTACACTCGATGTGATACGCTTAGGGTCTCATTGAAATTAAATCATGTCGAGTCATCCTTGTTCGACTTGATCCAGCCCACCCCATCCCATTCAAATCTCTTTCCACTATTGATTTAGCCCATCCCATCCCAATCTCTTTCCAATATTGATCCAGCCCACCCTATCCCATCTCAGCTCACCTTGATCCACCCCACCCCATCCCAATCTCTTTCCACCTTGATCCAGCCCACCCCATCCCATATCTGCTCACCTTGATCCAGCCCACCCCATCCCATCTCAGCTCACCTTGATCCACCACCACCCCACCCCATCCCACTCTCTTTCCACCTTGATCCAGCCCACCCCATCCCATCTCTGCTCACCTTGATCCAGCCCACCCCATCCCATCTCAGCTCACCTTGATCCACCCCACCCCATCCCAATCTCTTTCCACCTTGATCCAGCCCACCCCATCCCAATCTCTGCTCACCTTGATCCACCCCACCCCATCCCAATCTTTTTGCACCTCGATCCAGCCCACCCCATCCCATCTCTGCTCACCTTGATCCAGCCCATCCCCACCCCCTGCCCGCCCATGTCCACCATTATCTGTCGACGACTGTTTTTACTTGATACCAACCGTCCCCTTCCCCCAACCTCCCCTTAACCCCGGCGGGTCGCTTCCAGGCCCGGGTCTGTACATACTACTATGCACATGATAAATCAATGGAGTGAAACCGGAGCAGGCGAGAAATATTGACGACTTGGGCCCCGCCTTTCAGCTGCTAGAATAGTATTGGCTTTTAACCGTTTACTCTTCCCAACAACTCGCAGTGACGTACTTCCTCTGAAGAGAAAAAAAAAAAGGCGCGCGCTAACTCGACGGTGGTTCAGAAATGTACAGGTTTACGACTGGCAGTGTTTTTTTTTTTCTTTCTTTCCGGTTGTTGCGCAATTTCTTTCTTCGACCGTATAGCTAAGATACTCCGGACGCTGGTAATGGTAGATGTAGTGCTTGGTGTAATTAACGTGGTAAGCTATATGTTGATTGACGCTCTGTAATGGATTTTTCTTTCATCAAAGTACGAGAGGTTTTCAAACGGAAGAGATGCACTGGAATATACGCTGGTTAAACAAATAGACTCGTAGGTTACAACCAGAGGTTTTAGTTTGCCGCTGGTGGGGTAGATGAGGAAAGAGACTTCTTTTTTTTTTCTTTTTCCTGTTTAAATTATTGATACTACCAACCACGAGTCCGTCAGTGTTACGAAAAACGGTCGTATACACATTAAATTTTTATTCGGATGTGGATGAAATGCTGGCAGGATGTTGGGAACTGGATGCAATGGTGGGAGGGGTGGTGGGAAGTGGATGTAATAGCTGGATGGTGGTGAAGACATTTTTAAGAAAAAAAAATCCCACCAATAGGGACTGAAAGGTTGAACATTTTCCCTAGACAGCGATGCAATGTTTCTCCGTTGCGCCAAACAGAACCATCTTAAATATGCATCCAACCAAGAAACGGGAATTCCCAAAAAGACATTCCCGGGTTGTGTGTGTGTCTTTTGTTGCTGTTTTTTTTTTTATCTACCACAGCCCGTCCGACTAAGATCCGTTTGTATCGAATATCAAAACTGGTCGCGCTTTCATTTGTCCATGTCCTCCTGAGCTTTTTGAGTATTTCCAGCAGCTTAGATAAATCTAAGAAGCTTGATATGACCACCTCGGCGTCTTACAGAGCGCTCTTTTCTTCCCCTTGAAACCATTGATTGTGCTGCGGGGAGGAAATCCGGCCGCTCATCTTGCTCTCTCCTTGTGCAGCCTTTTCTCATGCCAGATAATCCTTATTATAATTTCATCTTTGGCATTAGGTTTTTTTTCCCTCCTTCCCTTTTCCATAGTTTGTTTTTTACCGAACCCCCACCCCCTCCCAAAATAAATAAATAAATAAATAAAATAAAATAAATAATAATAATAAAAAATTAATTAAAAAAATAATAATAAAAAATAAGAACATGGACATTCCGTTGGAGGCTTTCTCGCAGGCATCTAACAGTTTTTGGTTAGGCGATCATAATTTTCGTATTAAATATGTATGTATGTATATATATATATATTATATAAACACCATTGAGTCTTTTAAATGTGTAAAGATGCAGATTGCTTCACAGTGTGTTTATTTGCAACTTTAGGCCTTTAAAGATTGGATTATTATAAGGTTATTTGTTTTCTTTTTTTTAAAATAGTGCTTACAAATACTATAAATCCCTTCTTATTAATTTATGATCACTGGTTATGTTATTAGCTTCTATATCACGATTATTCCAAACGTCTCTGAAAGAAATAATTTATCATTTCCCGCATCATTATATGAAGTCTTAGATCGTGTCTCTATCGTATCCGGAAATTTGATCGAAAGAAATTTCGTCGACGGTAAATTGATCGACGGTAATTTGATCGAACGGAAATTTGGTCGAATCAATTTTTCAGTTTTTACGTTAAAATCTTGCTTCAAGTTTCTTTTTGAACGCATTATTTTGTTTTACTATACAGTATAGTGCGTTCAAAAAGAAATATACCGAAAATTTTGACGTGTGGACTGAAAAAAAGATTCGAAGAAATTTCCGTTCGATCAAATTACCGTCGATCAATTTACCGTCGACGAAATTTCTTTCGATCAAATTTCCGGTAACCTGTCTCTATAGATAAGACCATCTCAAGAGACCTCTTGCACTCACCTCCCAGTAGAAATGTAACATACCACTATGGGTAAGGAGTTAGACCTATTGGTAGGCATCACGGGCCTAGAGAATGAAGTCTAACGGCTTAGAATTCAGTCATTTTCTCATCCTTTTTTACGCAACAGTTTTGATGATCTGATTGCGCACCTGAGGTCACGAGTCGCATTATGTTCGCACCCTAAGTGCGCTAAACAGCACTGGGCAACACATTTTTACAAAACTCATGTCACTGAAATAAAATTAGTCATTTGATTTGTTAGAAATGTTATGTGCTTAGAAAGAATATGGCGGTCGAATTGCAAAAGGGGCTGGTTTTTTTTTCTTCTTCTTTTTGTCACCTGCAATAAATTAATGTTTACATCACGAAATGCTTACCAATAGAAATAGGCCTACTAATAGATATTTTCGCCTGTCTCTAGGACAGCTGTTCGGGAACATCTCTGGGGAGTGTCCAGCAGTAGTCAGCCAGCATTATAGTGGACGATTCTGTCCAGCAGTAGTCAGACAGCATTATAGTGGACCATTTGTCCAGCAGTAGTCAGCCAGTATTGTGGTGAATCATTGTGCCCAGCAGTAGTCGACCATCATTGTAGTAGACCATTGTGCCCAGCAGTACTCAGCCAGCATTGTAGTGGACCATTGTGTCCAGCAGTAGTCAGCCAGCATTGTAGTGGACCATTGTGTCCAGCAGTAGTCAGCCAGCTGGTATCTGTGTTCCAGTCCTGTGATATCTAGATGAAAATGTTCGCCGTGCTCATCGCTAAACATACCACAGTTGTCAGGGAAGAAATCGAGATGGGAAGGAAGGAAATGGATCTTTGGAGACATATTGCAACCAAGTTTCTGATTCTGCTTCATCATGTCTTCTACTAGTTCAATGTAGTTTTCTGCCATAACATTCCCAAGAATGTTTGTAGACTCTAGCTGAATAGCATTACATACTTGCATCGCATCACCCAGCAACAAGTTGTTTTAAACAGGTCATCTTTTTATATTCGTATTCAGCACGCCAAGATACTACATATTATAGTAATACAGATTAGGATACTAGAGATTATGATACTGCAGATTAGGATACTACAAATTAGGATGCCACAAATTAAGATACTACAGATTAAGATACTAGAGATTAAGATACTACAGATGATGCTACAAATTAAGATACTACAGATTAAGATACTAGAGATTAAGATACTACAGATTAATATTCTACAGATTAGTGTACTCCAGATTAAGGTACTATAGATTAAGATACTATAGATTAAGATACTACAGATTAGGATACTACAGATTAGGATACTACCGATTAGTGCCTTTTAAGTCAGTTACGGTTTAAATGTTGACCAGTGTAAGATAGATTAATTAGCAACACGTTGGATTCAAACGAACAAACCGGATGTATCATGAGGTCAACTCTGTTAAAAAATGTTGTCTTTTCGGAAGTGTACCATGTATGGAATACAGTAAAACATTTATTATAGAAAGATAGAATGAAAATAATTCTTATGCAATCGCTTGCTCTGAAATGTTGAACATATCTTATTTTATGTTAAGAAGCTTAGGAATCTAATGAAGGGCGATTTTATGGAGCGGTGGGGGTGGGGTGGGGAGAATGAGAGAGGGAACCCATCATAAATAATAAATGATGGTAGTTTGATTAGGAAGGCAGCTTATGATAAATGGCTTGAATGGGGCAACAATAACAATGCTCAGTCAATGCCATTAAGGGATGATGCAAACTCTAGATTGAAAACGGAAAATAATTATTTTTTTTAAAATGTATATCTATTTTTAAGGTCACTTTTGTTGTGTTTTCTTTTGTCATTTCTCAATTTGAAACTAAACTGCAAAATGTAGTTGGATGCATTCCTACGCTTAACCGAAAGCCCAAAGACCAAAATTAAAAGAATAGCTCAACTCTTACACAACGTCCACCATCGCGGTCCTGGAATTCACAGTGGTCTTGACGCCTCGTTCCATTAATTGTCGATGTTTCCCCCTTGTCTTTGGACGCGTTCAATAACAGTATTGAACGTGTGGGGAAAAGGGTGGGGTTGGGGGAGGTGGGTTTGGGGGGGGGGGGGGGTGGGGGGGGGGGGGGTGGGGGGGGGGGGGGGGGGGGGGGGGGGGGGGGGGGGGGGGGGGGGGGGGGGGGGTGCTAGGGAGTCAAATGGCTGGCCAGGAAACCCATGGTCCGATGTTTTAGCCCCGATGCCAAATGTGGGAATTTTCATCTTTATGTTTTGTTTACCAAAGGGAATCTCAAGTGGCCGTGTTGCAAGCCTTTGGGGGGAAAAAGGGGGGGAAAGGGGGGGGGGGGGGGAAACTCGTCATTTGAGAACCTTTGAGCCACACAGAGGGCTGGGAGAATCTCAGTGCCCATTGAAAATGTATTTGATGCCGATGGATAATCTGATGATGATAGGGGCAGCCGATTGAAAAATGTAATGATGACATCGCTCTCAGATGGCGGCGAGTTCGATCAAAGTACTTGACGCAACTCGTAGACATTGAGCATTTTGATAGCGACCACCGCAGGAAAGAACAATAATTTAAAAGAAACGTTTGAAATGAGTGAATGCAGAATGGGAAAACACATATAAAAGTCTCGTTACGTAAGGCAGCGGTTAAGAGGGGTTCGTGAGAGGAAGAAAACAAGACTTCGGACAAAAAATCAATAGGACAAAGGAAGGCCAAGTTTGACTCTTGTAGATCGAAACTAAAAGAGAAAGTGTAAATAGTGCATAACAATGCATCACTGATTGTTTAATCAACAAATGAAAAGAGGAGTTTCAAATATTTGAAAACATGTTCGATCCATGCAGTAAAAAAAATTGGCTATTTGATTCTTTGGAAATCTAAAGTGGCAACTTGAGTGAGAATTGTGATTTATGAAATAGTGTGTGTGGGTGGGGTGGGGTGAGGGGGAATAGCTCCACAGTGAGCTGTTGGATACCACAGTCGCAGGATTTTATATGGTGAAACCGCAACACCCCCCCCCCCCCCCCCCGAGATTATTGAATATTTTAAGCACACCACGGAAAACATGGAATATTAACGTAGGCAAGTTACAATATCATATCGGATACAGTAACCAATGAGAATTATTCTGAATTATGGCCGGTACCCGCGTCTGGTCCTTCCCTCTGAATGCACTGGTGACACGTCCCTCTATTCAAGGCACGGAAGTGGAGTGAAAGAACTTCTGGGAGGGGAGATGAGCTCAGGGGCTGACATCCCTGGACCAGACCTCATTCACCGGAGAAAGAAATTGGTTGCACGCGCGCCTGTAGGGGACGATATTCGCCGAGGGTTAACTACTTATTGTCCTTGTTTGGCGTGCAGCATTAGAGGGAGAAAAAAAATTGTCTGCTAAGATTTGAGTACTTGTTTTCTTTCCATGGGTTTCATTTTCGTAATTAGGGATTTCCCTCACTCTCTCTTTCTCTCTCTTTCTCTCTCTCTCTCTCTCTCTCTCTCTCTCTAAACGTCTTCTCTCCAATATATATTTTTTTTCAACCATTGTAATGAAAAAGATATTTTCACGTTTTCTAAAGGAGCTTTTTTATGTGGTCGCAATCCTCGGATTAAGACTTGATTAGGCTATACGCCAATTTAAACTTTGGAGGACCATGTGGAGGTCCATCGTAAACAGCACCCCCCCCCCCACACACACACATACACCCACACAAAAGACGTAAAAAAGCCCACTGATATATCTTCTTGTTATAATTCAGTTGAACGATGTTAAGAAGATAAAGTGCACTTTACTTTCAAATGAACGAAGTTCATGGCTATGCCACCCTATTCATAATTTGGTTATGCCACCCTATTCAAATTTGGTTATGCCACCCTATTCATAATTTGGTTATGCCACCCTATTTATAATTTGGTTATGCAACCCTATTCATAAATTGGTTATGCTACCCTATTCATACTTTGGTTATGCCACCCTATTCATAATTTGGTTATGCCACCCTATTCATAATTTGGTTATGCCACCCTATTCATAATTTGGTTATGCCACCCTATTCATAATTTGGTTATGGCACCCTATTCATAATTTGGTTATGCCACCCTATTCATAATTTGGTTATGCCACCCTATTCATAATTTGGTTATGCCACCATATTCATAATTTGGTTATGCCACATATTCTTAATTTGGTTATGCCACCATATTCATAATTTGGTTATGCCACCAAATTCATAATTTAGTTATGCCATCCTATTTATAATTTGGTTATGCCACCATATTCATAAATTGGTTATGCCAGCATTTGGCTATGCCACAATATTCACAATGGGGTTATGTCATCATTTGGTTTTGCCGCCATTCGGCCATGCCATCATATTCATAATTTGGTTTTGCCACCATTTGGCTATGCCACCATATTATTCAGAACTGTGCGATGTCAGCATATTCATAATTTAGTCATGCCACCATTTCGCTATGTCACCATGTTCACAATTTGGTTATGCCACAATTTGGTTATGCCACCATTTGGTTATGCCACCATATTCATAATTTGGTTATGTCACCTTATTCTTAATTGTTTAAATAGATTAAAATGCTGCTTTGTTCCCCTTTATGGTCCCTTCAAAATGCGGAGCCCTAAAAGAGTATCCGATCGTGGTAGTTGTTTCGACAAGGAAGTAGCTGCGTTAATGTTCATGTTATTTTTTTTTTTTTTAAATGTCTAAAAGTATATAGCAAAATTTAGGCATAGAAACATTTTCCAAGGAAAAAGTAAATTTATTATATACTTTACACTTTTTTTTTCATTCACCCTTGTCTGAAGAGGTTGATATCATCATCATCAGTGGCGCTACAGCCCATGTTATGCCCTGGCCTGCTGAATAGGCTTAATGTTAGAAGCTAATGAGTTTGGTAGAGACCCTTGGCATGATCGAAGTAACATTTATCATTTGGTTATAACTTCTGGCTTTAAACCTATATTTCCATACTGAAATTTAACCCTGTAGTCGTTGTTCTTGTTCATTTTCTCGCGAGTTTATTATTATTATTATTATTTATTTTTTGGGGTCCGTATTTGGAATCCATATTTTTAATCCGTATTTTCGGTCCGTATCTTTGGTCCGTATTTTAAGCCAGATAATTTCAAGCCAACAAATGTTTAGATCGATCGGTTATAGAAAGAAGAAGGAGGGGGAAAAAAAAAATGAAAAAAAAAAAAAAAAAAAAAAAAAAAAAAAAAAAAAAAAAAAAAAAAAAATGAAAAAAGAACAGCAAACAATAGCCAACAATCTCACTCAAGCAGATTGTCTAAACTTTTGAATATTAAACCCCCGACAGCCATCAGCCCCAGAGTTTCAATGAAATGAGTTTAGTGGTCCCAAGACTCCGAGGATTTCAAGCCACCATTAAAGACTATCAATAATGCAACCCTGAGTCCGGCTAACAACGGCTGGAGGCTGGCCATCGTTGTAGACTGACAGTGGGGTGTGTGTGTGGGGTGGGGGGGGTATCGGCTTGAGGGAAATCCTTTGAACGCGGGAAATTTTGAGTGAAGCTCCGGGTGGGATGGGGTGGGATGGTGGGCATTGTAGGGAGAAAGGGGAGGTGTTTGAAAATTCTTTTAAATTGAAGCAATCATTTAAGATCGGGCTGTAGTGGTGTTGTGTTTATAACAGGGGGAGGGGGGGGGGTAAGGCTTAGAATACGGATAACATTTTGAAAACCCAAAATCAAAAGTTTACTGTTCGAAATTGCTGCCTCCATTTTCCAAGATGATTGCTGACGCAGATGATACTGACGTAGCTGTAATGATGTCATCATCGTTCAACGTCGGTGATGTTTACTATTATCCTTCTTTTAAT